CGATAACCCGGGATGTCGATGTTTGACGTTTACACACCTTGTTCACATTTATGTTTTTGTGGAATATCATTAATTCCGGCGAACAGGCTACCGGTATCAATTATAATACTTACGACTTACCGCACTAATGACTTTGTCGACATTTTTTAACAAACTACAAAAACAGTATGATTTTTTATATGTGTTACCTCAAAACTTGTTTCTAGGTGAACCGGTTTTAAGATTCTTTTTTTTATTTGTGAGCTGGTATTTTTCGTGTAGTATCATATAACTTTTATTAAGATCTAAATAGTAGTTTTTGAGTTATCCTTAATAATACGTATCTAATTGACTTCTGATACATTGATGATATTCTCATTTTATTTATATAGTAGTTGGTTATATAAAATTTAACTACTTGTTTGGTTACTTATGTTCAAATATCTATGATTTGTAGTCTTCAGATTTTTTAAGACAGCTAGAAGTGGCTTAAGTTTTGATGAGTATGTCAGTGAATCAGTAAATAATACAATGGCACTTTTAACACCCTTTAAGTCAACGACTATCTTAGGTTTGTTCATGAAATTTAGGTCTAAAGTACGCAAAGGGACTTTATCAGGCATGCAAAATTAAAAGTGTGTAGGTCTAATAGTTTTTCAGTTATGGGAGCCGGCCCGTCGCGTCGTCATTTTCTTTCCCTAATTTAGCTGACACACTACCGTGTGTCTAAATGTTACATTCTAACTAATTGTAATTAAAGTTTATGTATGAGACATTTTGAAAAACGAATTTGTAACACATAATACACATGTAACACATAAACTGTGCTGCTTGTTATTTCGTTTGAGGATGGTTCGTATATAGTGTCAGCGACAGAGACACATAAATGCCTCCTTCATCAACGCATAACATTCCATTGGTTTAGAAGAGCTGAGAGAATTTAATACACTGCTGGTCAGGGGTGATCCTATTGTATGCCGTAATCACCACTATTGGTCGTCGGATCGACAGTCTCACTATTACAACTAAAATTAATATTCTATCTATCCACGAAATGCCCTACAAGCACTGACCTCTATATATACAAGTACGCTGGACTGGCTATACCATACAAAATGTCTGTGCCAATTTGAAGCACCCCTAACGGTCGTCTTGGAAACTTTAATTGACGTGTTATGCCAAAGTCTGTTGTCTTATTTATATTGTTGCGCACCTAAGTTGCCGTCATGTAGTGTCAAGAACGAGAGCGGGGAGAGCTTTCCAGAAAATGACATCACTAATCTTTCAACCGACAGCGCCATCTGGTGTCGAAACGAAGAACTAAGCTTCTAGAAGCCGACACTTGAACTTTCGATGCCTTGCGCGTATTTACTTGAATGTTCTGGATGTTTCGGTGCTAATGTGTATTTATAGGCGCAGCAAGGTGCGATCGGGGAAGTATGGAATTTGGCGAGACTAGCGAAGCTTCGGAGCGAAATAAAGTGAATCAGTGTGATCAATTATTAGTGTTTGAAGTTTAATAAGTGTAAAGTGAATTAAAGAGTTAATTTTGGGAATTCTATAGGCAATTTTTATTGTCACGAACCCTAAGCTCGTAACAATTGGTGTCAGAAGTGGGATAAAATCATGCCGATTTTACCTAAGGAGGAAACGGAGGGTGTCCGTACCCGAAGTCAACGCCAGCAGGAAACGGACCAAAGAATATTTGGGGGTGCAACGCCGCAGACATTGGAGGGCCAGCCGCAGGCTGCAGGCCCGTCAGTAGCTCCTACATCTGCAGCACCTGACTTAGGTGCTCTGATGGTGATGCTGCAGGAGCAGGCTCGCCGACAGGAGGAGCAGGCCCGTTGGTTGAAAGAGCAGCAGGAGGAACAGGCTCGCCGACAGGATGAACAGGCTCGTCAACAGGAGGAACAGGCCCGTCGGTTGGAAAAGCAGCTCAAGCGCGATAAGGAAGAGCAGATGCTCCTCATGAAGGACATTCACGCTACCTTCGGGAAAGAGATAAGGGAGGTGAAGGATAAGGTTGCTCAACATGACAACCGCCTGTCGGAAGCTGAAACCCGAATCGACCAAGTAAACAATCGGGTTGACAACGTAATGGCTGACGTGAAGAAAACGCTGGACGACCTCAAACTTGGGGATAGAACAACAGCTCCCGTAGTAGCTACTACATCTTCGCTACGTGGGTTCAAGGTGCCATTCGACGGGACTTCTTCCCGGTCAGCCTAAAATTCCAGTTCAAGGCTGTTATAAAGGCGAACGGCTGGAATAAAAGTCAGTCCATGACTGCTCTCACACTAGGCCTGCGCGACCAGGCCTTAACAGTTCTGGAAGCTCTCGGTGAGGAAGTGACTTATGAGCAAATCCTTGAGGCATTGGAGGCGAGATATGGTGACGCTCACCTGGAACACGTCTTTCGTGCGCAGCTTAAAGATCGCGTGCAGCGCATCATCGAAAACCTGCAGCAGTGGGCTCTAGAGATGGAGTTGAAGCTAGGCAACGTGATCTACCTGCATAAAGTCATCGTGGCTGATATAATGGATGACTGCATCCTGGGCCTAGACTTTATGAGGAATAACTGTTATGACCTTATGAGGAATAACTGAAATGTGGACAGGAGGAACTTTTTATGGAAGGTGCGTTACCAGGGAACGTGTACAGCATTAATAAGATTGTTCTTCCCCAATCGGAAACGATTGTTCCGGTTAGTCTTCCCCGAAACGTGGGGCAAGCTCACCGTTGTGTACTAGTGGAAAGGGTAAACAATGACATTCCATGGAAAGTAGCTCGAACCTTAGTCAGAACCACTGATATCTCAGGAGTACGTGTGCTGAACCTTTGTGACCGGGAACAGAATATAGAAAAAGGCACGCTGGTTGGTACTTGTGAGGAAGTGGATTGGTTACGTCGGTGCCTATATCTATCGAGTGAGACCCCTAGCAAGGATCACAAACGAGAGTGACCACACTTTTGGAAGACCGTCGCAGCGTTCTCTCCCCGACCGAAATGGTCAAGGCGAAGAAGTTGTTACTCACGTATGCCGATGTATTCTCATCAAACGATGCTGACATAGGAAAGACTGGCTTAGTTCAGCACAAAATAAACACAGGAGAAGAATTGCCTATCCGTCAGCGGCCAAGAAGATTGCCGGTAGCACGCGAAAAGGAAGTGGAAACCATGATTGAAGGAATGGTGAAGGATGGTGTTATTGAACCTTCCTCTAGTCCGTGGTGTTCACCAGTGGTGCTGGTAAAGAAGAAGGATGGCAGCATGCAGTTTTGTGTTGACTACCGCCGTCTGAACGACGTTACGAAGAAGGACAGCTATCCCTTGCCAAGAATTGATGACACGCTGGACATGCTTACAGAAGTAAAGTGGTTTAGCATACTGGATCTAAAAAGTGGCTACTGGCAAGTTGAAATTGACCCTAAGGACAAGGAGAAAACTGCGTTCTCGACGGGAAATGGTCTGTGGCAATTTAAAGTAATGCCGTTTGGGTTGTGCAATGCTCCAGCAACGTTTGAAAGGCTGATGGAACTTGTACTTACCGGGCTAATTGGCGATGCCTGTCTGGTCTACTTGGATGACATCATCACCGTGGGCCGTACGTTTGAGGAACACCTTCAAAACCTGGAACGCGTGCTCATGAAGATTCAGAGTGCCAACCTCAAGTTGAGTCCGAAGAAATGTTCACTATTCAAACGGCAAATTAACTTTTTGGGGTATGTAGTATCGGAAGAAGGTATCCGCACGGATCCAGAGAAAATCGCCGCTGTCAAGGATTGGCCGGTTCCAAAAGACAAGACGCAGGTTAGAGCATTTTTGGGTTTGTGCTCCTATTACCGGCGATTTGTGAAGAACTTTGCAGATATAGCCAAACCTCTGCACAAGCTAAGCGAGGAGAAGCGACATTTCTGCTGGGATGAAAGTTGCAATATCGCATCCAGGAGCTCAAGAACCGTCTGTGCAAAACACCTATTTTGGGATACCCTGATGCAAGCAAAGAATTTATAGTTGAAACAGACGCAAGTGATATAGGACTTGGCGGTGTGTTGTCTCAACGGAATGGTGACCAAGAGGTCGTGATAGCGTACTTCAGCAAGTCGTTGTCAAAACCGGAAAGGATCTATTGTGTCACAAGACGCGAATTGCTCGCTGTGGTAAAGTCGTTGCAGCATTTTAGCAAATATCTTCTGGAGCAAAAATTTCACTTACGAACTGACCATGCTGCACTAAAATGGCTATTGCAGTTCAAAAAGCCAGAAGGACAAGTTGCGAGGTGGATTGAACTACTGCAGGAATACGACTTTGAGATCGAACATCGCAGCGTGAAATTTCATGGCAACGCAGATGCATTGTCAAGAAGACCTTGTGCTGAAGATTGCAGACATTGTACTAGGCAAGAGAGTAAGGAAGTGGTATCCGTGAGGATGCTCAGGACAGACCACCTCAGCAACGAGTGGAAGGACAGCTTACAACGTGCACAGCAGGAATATCCGGACATCAAGCCGATTCTGGAATGGATGAAGGCCAGTGCTCCCAAGCCCAAGTGGAGCGACGTCTCAGCGATGAGTTCGACCACTAAAAGCCATTGGGCCCAATAGGACAGTTTGCTGCTTCAGGATGGAGTTCTGTGCCGTAAATGGGAAAATGTTCGGGGAGACAGCTGTCATTTGCAAATGGTTGTCCCTAAAGCTAAAGTACCGGATGTTCTACAGCTGTACCATAATGATTTTTCAGGAGGCCATCTGGGAGTTAAAAGAACTCTACTGAAGGTCCGAGAACGGTTTTACTAGGTCCAATGTCGAGCACTGGTGTAACAAATCTACAAGTTGTGCGGCTGTAAAGGGACCTCAGACTCGTAGTAGAGGTGCGTTGAAGTTGTACGATGTTGGTGCACCATGGGAGAGAATAGCCATTGACGTGACGGGGCCGTTTCCGGAGAGTGAAAGCGGTAACAAGTATTTCATGGTTGTGGTGGATTACTTCACCTTAGCTCCAACGGTAAACAATATTTTATGGAGTCTAACTTGAATATTCAATCATTCATCAGGGATGCCTACACCGAGCGATATAAATCTGATTTTTCATCTTATTACTTTTGCTATACAGGCATATCCCTTCCTTCTGATGATGATGATGAAGCCTACGTCCTACTTGAAAAAGATCCCCCAGCTGAACCGAAGAATTATTACTGGGATCTCGATTATGCATGTTCTTTTGATTGTGATTACGATGTGATGGTACCAGGTGTGGTCTACATAAATGATGTCGATGATGGAGACAGTGATATGGAACTTGACGATGACCAGCCTCAATGTGAGTCTGAGGACATTACCACACCAGAACAGCTTGACGAGGATTCATCTCTAGCTGCTGACGAGGAGCGCACACGCAATGGTGAACATTTAGAGCTTCCATACTCCAGTGGTGGCATAAAAAGATCAGCACGTGATCTGCTGATGACTCAAGAAGGATTGGAAAGCCCTGCGCAGTCAACAGATAAGGGCTTGAAATGGTCTAGACATGATCCGCTGCTAGATCAAGAGGGATTGAAGAGTTCTGCACACTTTAGTGGCGTGGATAATGAACTACCACCAATAGCAGTGCCAGTACATGACTCGCCAAAACGTATGGCGCACCAGCTAACACCAACGTCCCGCATTCGTGCGATTTTTAAGAACACTAGAATCTTCGAAAACTGGATTTGTGATGGAACTGATTTGCTCCCGGTGCTTAATATGAGGGTCAAGAGGTGGAGAAGCTGGTGCGAAAAGCATACCGGTCTGTACCTGCGCTCATTGAAGGGAACCTGGTGCAGACATTCATCGACGGCATCCGCGACCTGAAAGTCAGAGCTGCTGTGAGGCTCGGGCACCACGAGACGCTTAAGGAAGCCTTGGCCCATGCACTGGAGGTGGAAGCCGTGCGACAAGATCATCGTTCCCATCGCTTCAGGGAGGTTGCAGCAGCTACAGTTCGCAACTGCATAAATGGATACAGCCCTAGGTGCTATGGCTGTGGGGAAAGGGGCCATCTTCGATCCAGCTGCCCTAAGCGAACCGTAGAAAGGGAAGTTGATCGATCTCGAGAGGGTAGTGCAGCTAACGGCACCGCCTGGCGGTGGCAGGATCATCGTTCCCATCGCGTCAGGGAGGTTGCAGCAGCTACAGTTCGCGACCGCAACAAAGGATTCAGCCCTAGGTGCTATGGCTGTGGGGAAAGGGGCCATCTTCGATCCAGCCGCCGGCTGCATGCAAGAGGGACTCCTAAGATCGTCTATGTGGATCGCTTGGCGCGTTACTATGGGGCCGATAATGCTCGGGACGAGCATGTCTTAGGAGGGGGCAGTTTTGCGCGCCTAAGTTGACGTCATGTTGCGTCAGGGACGAGGGCGGGGGGAGCTTTCCAGAAAATGACATCACTAATCTTTCAACCGACAGCGCCATCTGGTGTCGAAACGAATAACTAAGCTTCTAGAAGCCGACACTCGAACTTTCGACGCCTCGCGCGTATTTACTTGAATGATCTGGATGTTTCGGTGCTAATGTGTATTTATAGGCGCAGCAAGGTGCGATCGGGGAAGTATTGAATTTGGCGAGACAAGCGAAGCTTCGGAGCGAAATAAAGTGAATCAGTGTGATTAATTATTAGTGTTTGAAGTTTAATAAGTGTAAAGTGAATTAAAGAGTTAATTTTGGGAATTCTATCGGTAATTTTTATTGTCACGAACCCTAAGCTCGTAACAATATTGTCATATTTAAAAAATCTGTATTTTGAACTTTTAAACTGAAAAACTAAAGTATTTTATTTTGTTTGATTGTGTATAATATTAGTTACATAATAAAAATTATTTTTAATAACAATGAGAGTATGCGTAATCTGTAAAACTCGTTACCAAAAGCAAAGTGACATAACATTTCACAAGTAAGTGAATTTGCAGCTGATATTAAACATATTAAAACTATTTCATAATATAAGTACTTAAAAATTTGTTACTAATCTTAATATCATATACACTAACATGTTTGACTGTATATTACTGAGTTTTGATAAACAATAAAATTCAATAGGGTTGTCGAATTCCTTGTCTATAATACTTATCGATGTTCTTTCCTGCCCATATCTGTTAACAAACAAAGTCGCCAACAACAGATGATTATAAATTTTTTATTAATTAACAGGTTTCCAACTGAACCTAGACTAAAATTATGGCTTAAAAGCATAAATATTTTGAATTGGCAAAATGATCGTATTTGTTCTGAATATTTCACAGACGACTGTTTTATTATTTATTAGACATGAGAACCGCACCACTTTGAAAAAGTGCAGTATTTCGACAATATTTTCTGGTAGTACTAGTATCAGTAAGTATAAACGTATTAGATTATTATTCCGAATGTTTTTTTATTTCTTCTTTCCTCATTTTCCCCCAAACTCAAGGGCAATAGCCAAGTGTCGAAAGGTCGCCTGATTATGTCGAGCCACGTTAGATGTGTGTTAGTTGTGTGTGGGGCTACGGCTAGAGGAGATTCCTCTCCCTGTACCGCTGTAGTCGAGGTGGAATCGTCAGGGAAGAGGAGTGTTGGTATGGCGATTGGCGATGCGATGCCACTCGACTATCCTTCGCGACTTTGGTGAGGCTGCATCACTTGATGCTTGTGTTTGTTTGTTGTTTTTTCCTGGTTTCATTCACATATCGGGCTCGGGGAGTCCGTAGTGCAGGTGGAATTAGAGGCCGCGAAGGTCAGTGTCCCTTGTGTTTCTGGTGCGACTTATCTGAGAAGAAAAACGGGGGGGAGAAGTCAGCAACTAAGGAGGGGCTGCCATTGTGCGGTTGGCATCGGAGGGGCAGCGGATGTGCATGAAAGGTTTACGTGGCCCTGTCAACTTGCGACGGGGAACCCGAAGAGATTTAATTCTCTCTCAATTCTTAAGATTTAATTAGTGCTTTAACTTCGTAGTGGCCCTACTTTAGTTTATTTCTTATTTACAAATTCTGTCCATCGTTTACATTCACGGTTTTTGTCAGCTTCCTCTTCCGCAACATCCACCGACAGAGGGAATTAAGTATTCGATCAAGACCCCATGAACTGCGATATGTCAAGTCCCCTAGAATACGTGGCACTGGCAAAGCTGGAAAGCTTAGGAGGATAAACTTAGGAATGAGGATATCGGCAGTAAAATCAGAGTGACCGACATCGCCCAATGGATTAGTAAGCTGAAGTGGTAATTGACCGATCATATAGCTCGAAGAACCTATAACCGATGGGGAAAAAATATTCTCGAGTGGCAGCCTCGTACCGACAGGTGAAGTGTCGGAAGTTCCCCCACTAGATGGACTAAAAACCTGGTAAGACATACAGGAAATTGATGGACGAAGGTGGCTCAGGACCGTGCTTTGTGGCATTTCCTGGGGGGAGGCCTATGATCAGCAGTGGACTTGTGAGTGTGTATTGTGAGGCTTAGATGGAGTAAAAACCTGGTAAGACATACAGGAAGTTGATGGACGCAGGTGGCATTATATTAATATGATACATAAATAGAATGGTCGTTACAGGTAGAGTCCATCTATCCATAGAGTCCATTCTATTTATTTAGGTATAGGTAGGGTATAGAACTTTTATCGATATATTTTGTCACACTGTCTTATCCCTATTATTAGTTCCGAGGACGAGAACTTCTGCTGTTAGCGCCAAAATGGCGAAAATCAAATTGCCTTATCACGTCACGTTGTATAGCCAGTCCAGCGTACTTGTATATATAGAGGTCAGTGCCTACAAGAGATAGAATTTGACATAAAATATTTGAAGCTTGTGTCAAATATCTATCTCTAGCAGGGTAAATAAATAGTTAGCCCTCTCGTACTTTTGACGCTGCTCCATATATTTAACATTTAACGTTATTTATCGGAGTCCATAAGATCTTTTTAACGATTCCCATAGTCGCCTTATCAGGACAAAGTCGGAAGATCAACCACCAAATGAAAAATTATATTACTTTTAACTACCATAAATACTATAATTTCAAAAGCAAGGATTTCAACACAGAACTTAGGTTCCAGTTGAGAGATACGTTTTATAAACTAATTGTATGATATTTATGAATCAACATGAGATTTATTTTTTTCAATTTTGCACTCGACATTAAGTTACTGACACAAGCTTATTAGTATTACATATTAATAAAGTTGCCTGGTAGTTCTCCCGTCCTTTTTCATTAAAAATAATTCAGGTTGGAACGGCTATGAGGATAACTCTCAATAATATTTTCTTTGTTTACTAGGTTATTACCTCGTTTCTTTTGTTTCTGTTTTAATATTTGATGTTTATAGCAATGCTTATCCATTTTTCTCTTTATTTAAAAATAAATTTTTTTAACCATTAATATTTTATTCTCTAACAAAACAAACTGTTCTAACTAAACGGATTTTTATATAAAACTACCAAAAATATTAACATGATTAACAAAATTATTGATATTTTTTACTGTTAATAGTTATTGCCTATTCCAAAATATCGATAGTTCATGTGAACAAATCTTCTAATGTTTCAAAGAGACACTATTTTTCCGACTTTATTATCTTAAACCACATTTTTGGTAACATTATAACTTCAGTACCCGGATGATCGAGCTTTGCTCGGTTTTTTTTAAATTACATTTAGATACAAATTACATACTGATGAATAATATTTTTTGATCTTATTGACATAATAGAAAAAACTGAACTGGTTATTTGAATAAAAAATCATGAGTGCAATTAGTTTAATCAAAATTTTCGTATTTTTAAAAAATACTAAAAAAAACGAAACAGTACTCGTAATAATAAATATAGATTTTCTCACAAAAGAAGGTAATTTGAAAAAAAAGGAAAAAAATCAGACCGGAGACAGGACTCGAACCAAGGCTTTACGATTTCGCGACCGGTCGATATCCACTTGAGCTATTACGATCGTTAACACGGTGTCAAAAGTTACCTTCTTATATTGTAGCAGTTTTTCATTGCCTGAAAACACGGACAAAAAAACATTTTCTAAAAATAAATCCTAGCTAGATCGATTTATTGCCCCCAAAACTCCCTGGACACTAAATTTTATGAAAATCGTAATAATAAATATATATACATACAAGAATTGCTCGTTTAAAGGTATAGGAATACCAATCTGCTGTGTAGTTGTGGTATAAGAATATGCATTACCCCATCTCGTCCCATAGTCCATGGGTGCTAAAGAGGGAAATGCAATAGATAGTAGACATAAAATTGCGGTTGCCAACCCGCCTGCCAAGCGTGGCAACTTAGGCAAATATATTCGTAAATAAGATATCTTTCTCGTAGAGCGAGGTCAATGTTCTACTGTGAACTTTTGATATAGTGTGACAATAATATCACTCTTTGTGATGTAAAAAATGTAGGTAACTTTTAGGTTTAGATAACTTTTAGGTTTAGAAAAAAGCTTCCCTATATTATGATTACATGTTAATTAATAATCAAATTGTTGGTTTACGAATCTGATGGAGTTAGGTGTACTTGTGTTCTACTTAATCGACAAGTCGAATGACACAGGCACTCTATTCGTACAGCGTTTCCACATTTAAGTCCTGTTAGCGTGATGCCCTTTTCTTGTACATACAAGAGCAATTATTAAATGCAAAATAAATAAGCACAGCAATTACATTCAAGAATTGTTTACCAATTGTTTACCGCGGATGATTGAAAGCAATTACTAAATGAAGGTCTTGACAAGAAATAATTGCTAGTGTCTTTTGTCACAGAATAAATAATATAGTATACCATGTACAGAAGTTGCACTCCTTTGATGTTGACTGCTAGCCGACGTTTAATATCCTA